GATGAGCAATCCCATTACTAGGTATGTATTCTAAAGAAGTGAGAGCCAGGACAAGAACAAATATATGCATACCTCCTATGTTCATCGCAGCACTATTTATAATAGCAAAAAGATGGAAACAACCTAGGTGCCCATCAACAGAAGAATGGATAACCAAACTATGGTACACACACACAATAGAATACTATGCAACACTAAAGAATAAGGTAGAATCTGCAAAACACTGCATAACGTGGATGAACTCGGAGGACATTATGTTGAGTGAAATAAGTCAATCATAGAAGGACAAATATCGTATTAGTTCGTAATTGTAAAAAAGTCAAGGAAGGTTTATATATGGAAGGAAACTTTCTTTGTTGGTTTACAGGGGTGGGAGGGGAGAGGAGGGTACAGTGCAAAAATAAGTAAGTAAAATAAAAAGTATGTGTGTGTATATGTATATAAGTATATATGTATATGAAGCGCTGGTGGTGTAGCGCCTAAGGCATTTGATTGCTAAGCAGAAGGTTGGCGGTTCATACTCACCAGTCAAACTGCAGAAGGAAGACTGGGCAATCTACTTCCTTAAAGATTTACCACCTCAGATAGGGGGTCGCTATGAGTCAGAATGAACTCAATGGCAGTGAGTTTGGTTTTGGTTTTTGTATGTGTGCATGTATGTGTATATACCTCATTTTATTGCACTTCCCTTTATTGCAGTTTGCAGATACTGCATGTTATACAAATTGAAGGTTTGTGGCTACCCTGCATTGACCAAGTAAGTCTATCAGCACCATTTTTCCAACAGCATGTGCTCACTTCATGTTTCTGTGTCACATTTTAGTAATTCTCACAATATTTCCAACTTGCTCATAGTGACCCCCATAAGGTTTCCAAGGCTGTAAATCTTTATAGAAGTAGATTGCCTCATCTTCCTTCTGTGGAGTGGCTAGTGAGTTTGAACCTCAGACCTTTTGGTTAGCAGCCCAGTGCCTTAACCACAGCACCACCAGAGTTCCTTTAATAGATTAAAATATAGTGTAAAGATAACTTTTAAATGCACTGGGTAATAAAAACTATTCATATGACTCGCTTTATTGCAACATTGGCTTTGTCCTGGTCTTCTGGAACCTAATCCACATTATCTCAGAGGTTTGTTGTTGTTGTTATGTGCCCTCGAGTCAGCCCAACTCATAGCGACCCCTCCTTGGGTTTCCCAGGCAGTATCACTATGGAAGTAGATTGCCCAACATTCCTTCCAGGAGTGGCTGATGGGTTTGAACCTACAGCCTTCTGGTTAGCAGTCAAATGCCTTAGGCACTGTGCTACCAGGTAGGCCTATATTTATATGCAAAAAGAGAGAGAGAAGGAAACTGTGGCAGTATGTAAACAATTGGTGAATCCAGAAGAAAGGTATGCAGGTGATCGTTGTCCTATTCTTTAAAGTGTGCTGTAGGTTTGAAATTTTTCAAAATGAAAAGTTGAGGGCAAAATGTACAAAAAATATTTGGTACAAAAAACAACAAAAGCCCAGTTACCACTGAGTTGATTTTGATTCATGGCGACCCTGTGTATGTCACAGCAGAACTGTGCTACCCAGGGTTTTCAATGGCTGCTTCTTTGGAAGTACACTGCCAGGCCTTTCTTCTGAGGTGCCTCTGGGTGGACTCGAACCTCCAACTTTTCTGTTCGCAGCTGAGTGTATTAACTGTTTGCACCACCCAGAGAGAGAGTAACATAATTCTAACCATCTGGAGGAACAGCGAAGGGAAAATGTAGCAGTGGGCACTGTTTCCGGGAGCTCGGGGGAAACATATCAACTATTTGTGACTTGGTAACCTCCCATCAGCCTTTCATCCCTGCTGCCCAAAAAACATCAGAACTGTAATCCGTTTGCCCAGTAATCCTCTCACCTTCAGGGTCTTTCACACAGACTCTTCTAAGTGCTCCACTGATGTGGACAGCTACCCCCTTGGCTTAGCTAAGATGGTATCCAAAGTGCCTTAAATGGCCACAGCTCATCTCCCTGGAGAGTGAAGGGAACCCATTTAACAAATGACGCATCTTGTTTTTTTAAAGAGCTATATCCACTTATGGAGCTCTGGTGACATAGTGCCTAAGGCATTTGACCGCCAACCAGAAGTTTGAACCTCCAGCCACTCCTGGAAAGGAAGATTGGGCAATCTACTTCCGTAGTGATACTGCCTCAGAAACCCAAGGAGGGGTAGCTATCACTTACCTTCACAGGGAAAAAAAAAAAAAAAAGAATCGATGTATACAAAATGTGTCAAGATTTAGTCATTGGATATTCTCTTTGGATTCCTGTTAATGAGCATATTTTCCATCTATGACATTAGATTAATATACTAGTCATTGCTTCTCCTCACTTACCTTTTTGCTTATAGGCATTTCCCTGAATTTATTGAACTCTTGTGCCCCACTGAAAGCACAGAATACCAGAAAGATGTTTACCTGTGTTTTATCTACTATGCAAAGGCATTCAACTGTGTCATAACAAAGTATGGACAACATTGCTGAGAATGGAATTCCAGAACACTTAATTGTGCTCATGAAGAACCTGTGCATAGACCAAGAGGCAGTCCTCAAACAGAACAAGGGGATACTGCATGGTTTAAAGTCAGGAAAGATATGATTCAATCTATCTGCTGAGCAAATAATCTGAGAAGAAGAATAATTCAGCATCAGGATCAGAAGAAGATTCATTAACAAGCTGCTATATGTAGATGAAGGTTGGACAATCTACTTCTGTAGTGATACTGCCTTGGCAACCCGAGGGGTTGCTATGAGTCGGGGCTGACTCAACAGCACACAACAACAACATATGCAGATAACACAACCTTGATTGCTGAAAGCAAAGAAGACTTAGAGCACTTAATGATGAAGATCAAAGACTACAGTCTTCAATATGGATTACACCTCAACATAAAGAAAACAAAAATTCTCACAACTGGACCAATAAGGAACATCATGATAAAGGAGAAAAGACTGAAGTTGTCAAAGACTTCATTATTCTAGGATCCACAATCTATGTCCATAACAGGGCAGTCAAGAAATCAAACTACGTATTGCATTGGGTAAATCTGCTGCAAAAGGCCTCTCTAAAGTATTAAAAAGCAAAGATGTCACTTTGAGGACTAAGGTTCCCCTGACCCAGGCATGGTATTTTCAATCACCTTATATGCATGTGAAATATGGACAATGAATAAGGAAGATAGAAGAAGAATTGATTCCTTTGAATTGCAATGTTGGTGAAGAATATTGAATATACCATAGACTGCCAAAAGAACCAACAAATCTGTCTTGAAAGAAGCACAGCCAGAATGCTCCTTGGAGGCAAGGATAGTGAGATTTTGTCTCATGTTACTTTGGTCATGTTATCAGGAGGGGCAAGTTCTTGGAGAAAGACGTTGCGCTTGGTAAAGTAGAGGTGGGTGAAAAAGAAGATTCTCAATGAAATGCACCAACACAGTGGCTGCACCAGTGAGCTCAAACAGCAACAATTGTGAGGATGGTGCAGGACTGGGCAGTGTGCCCTTCTGTTGTACATAGGACCAACGTGAGGGCACCCAACAACAACATGGAACACTTGAAGGTGCTAACTTTGGCCAGCCATTTCCCTAGTGTGGGGCAATAGGATTATTTCCAAAGTCCACATATTGACCTGGTCATGAACCTCCTTTAGAAGTACGGAAGTTGCCTGCTTCCGACCGGTCCTCGTGAAGAAGAGGTGTGGAGGAGAAGAGCCTGGACAGGACCTAGTGGAGGGGGTGGCACGTCTTCTAGGCAGGGCGTGGGCTAGGCGAAGTCCCCAGCCCACCAGGCCGTGCCAACAATGGCCTGTTGTCAAAGGAGGCAGGAAGGAATGCGGCCCAGGGAGTTGGGCGGCAGGGCGGCTGCTGCGGTGGCGGCTGTGGGGCGGGGCCAGATCTCAGCGGCAGCCTCTTACCTGTCCAGGTAGTTTGCATTTTGAGGCGAGCGGTGTGGCCCGCAGCACCTGTCGCCCCGTGCGCGGGCGGGGAGGACTGCGGGGGACATGGCCTGGTAGAGTTCTCTGGGGAGAGTGTTCGGAGTCCACTCTGGGGCCGGGCAGGGCGAGGGAGGGAGGGTCCTTCCTTGGTTCCCGCGCGGCCTGCGGCAGCATGAAAAAAAACCAGACGGTGCAGGGCACCTTCAGCAAACTCTTTGGGAAGAAGCATGGCAGCCCCACCACCACCTCCCTCTACGCCACCAACCCACCCTGGATTTTCACCCAAGAGGCCCCGGAACAGGGGACCAGAGATTTTGGTAAGTGCGCCGGTGGGGAGGGGAGGACGTTGGAGGAGCCGATTGCCTGCGCCCCCACACCCAGAAGAGCGCCCGGCCAGGGCGAGGGAAAGGAACACGTTGGGACCTGTGAACTGGCCGACAAGGGGCTGCTGGGAAGGGGAGGAGGCACCCTTACCGGGCTGGCTCTGGGACAGGGAGGGTGTGGGAGAGGCGGCGGGAAAGCGGGGACCCTGTCCTTAGCTACCAGCCCGGCCCGACAACTTTGCCCGCTCCCGGATCTGATCCCTGGTCCCTCTTCCAGGGTGTTTCTTTTCCCTCTTTGATGGAGGTTTGTGTTTGTGGTTTTGTTGCCACATAGGCTTCCTGGGATTTGCAGTGGCACCTTTGCCAGCCTCCCTGAGTCAGAGCTGGAGGGTAGGGAATAAAGGGGGTCACAGTGTCCCTCATCCATCTCACTTCCTCTGTTCTCCCCAGTCCTGGGCCTTGGCCTCTCCTGGCCCAGGGTCTCCACAGCCAGTTTCCATTGACAGACTGAGGGGGCAGTTTCCATTGACAGACTGAGGGGGCTGCTTTCCTGGGTGCCCACTTGCTTGGCTCTGTATGGGTGAGGCCTGAGGAAACCTACAGGAGCCACTGCTAGGAGGATGCCAGCCTGTGGTGATACTACCAAATCACTGACTGAGATCACAGGCTCTTGCTGGGTCAACCTAGGGCCTGGGTCTTCCATGAGGAGCCAGAAATGGGGCAGTGGAAACTACTGACCCAAATGTCAGGGTGGGTGTATCTCAGCAGGTATCAGAAAACACAATGGCCTAGGGCTATAGCCGTGGGTCATCGTATCCTTGCATCTCTGTAATTTGTACTCTTTTTAGTCAGGGGAGAGGGGGAACCAGGAGGACAAGGGACAAGAATTCATTTCTTGTTATGACCTGTGGCTCTGGATACCAGGGAAGGGACTTCTGGACCCAAGGAGGGTTCCCCCATCACTGTGTTAGCCTGCCTTCATGGTGAGCACCTTCTCCTCATTGCCTTCTTTGGCCCCTGTGCTGGGCCCAAGAGAATGTTACAGCCTCCGCTCTGCTATGGGATTCAATTCAGTATCCAGGTAGCCATGGTCGGTGTAGAAGGCACCATAGATAGGACAAGAGCAAACAAGATGTCCCGCCTCACTAGCCCAAGGATCTCAGACCAGAGGGTGGTGAACAGAACTAAGCATATGTTACTTAGACGTTTCTGAGCCTTTGTTGTAAACGATTTTTAAGTGCATAAGGGACACAGAAGAGAGATAAACTCTGAATGGAAATAGCATTAGAGCTGAGAAGGAAGGGCATTCCTGGCAGAGCAGACCACTGGAGCAAAAGCTAGGAGGGGCAGGGCACTTTGGAGGCACAGGTTAAAAAAAAAAAAAAAAAACCACTGTCATCAAGTCTGACTCATAGCGACCCCTCCTTAGGTTTCCAAGGTGATATCACTACAGAAGTAGATTGCCCAGTCTTCCTTCCGAGGAGTGGCTGGTGGGTTTGAACCACCAGCCTTCTTCTGATTAGCAGTCACTAGCCTATGAGGCAGGTACTATTACCATTTCTCTTTGAGCAGTGAGGAGACTGCAGCACCAGGACAGGATGGGTCACGTGCCCAAGACCATGCAGCTTCAAATGACAGAGCCAGGATTATTTTAAGTGTGCAGTTCAATTATTTTTTAAAATAGATATTTAACAATCCTAGTATCGTGCAGCCACTACTACAATCCAGTTTTAGAACATTTCTGTCACCTCTAAAAAGTTCCCTCATGAGCCAGAGCCAATATTTGGAGCCAGCAGTCAGGCTCAGAACAACACACTTAAATCAGTCTGACCCTGGAGGAAGGAGATCCAAAGGTGAATTTCACTTGAGGGGGTTCTGCCTTAAAAACACTCCCTCTCCTCCACTTCTTCCCCCAAAGGGAAACCTTGGAAATGCTTCTGGAGTACTTTTCAGCCCTGGCTGAGCAAGTTGCTGGTAGAGATCTGCCCTCTGTTGGGGGAAGTATAGTCATGGTGCCCTGTCACCCCAGCCAGCTGCCTTTACCAACCTGGGCAGGGCTGGACCCCAGGACCAGCTCCCCCATTCCCCAGGGCTGGGCTGGGCTGCCAGCTGAGTCAGCCTGGTTGCGCCTGCACATGG